AGCCAGGTCAAGTGGGTATTATCTGCAAGTGTGGGTGTTCTTATGCATATGCCCTCTCTTCTTATCAGCTGGATGCTTCATTCTCCTCTCTAGTCCTCTGTGACTATGTCACTGACTCTGGGCCCAGGAGTCCCCAGGTCTTGCCAAACTGCTGGCGAACCAGGTCTCCACCCTGCTTCTTTCTTTGATTTCACAAACATTTTATTGCACGCTGAGGGTATATCCGGAGCCATTCTGGGGTCAAGGGATAATTCAGTGAGCAAAATACAAAATCTCATGCCCACATGGAGCTTACACTTCCTCCGTGACTAAAACGTGACTCTAGAGACAGAATCCACTGTCTGTCAGTTTATCATACGGTGGTGGCATGCATGCTGCGGTGAGGCTAGAAACTATGCCACTGGTATGTCAAATACCAGCAGAGTCATCCTTGATAGACAGGTTTCAACAAAGCTTCCAGAATAAGACAGACTTGGAGGAAGGATCTGGAAATCTGTTGTTGCTGTTGTTGTTTTTTTTGAAGTTGGCTAGTGAAAACAGCAGAACATAGTCTGATAAAATGCCAGGAGATGATCCCCTCAAGTTAGAAGGTTCTCAAAATACAACTGGGGAAGAGCTGCTTCTATAAAGTCGAGTCATCCTTAATGGTGTGGATGAAATAAAGCTTTTGGAACCTTCATCTGCTGATGTGGCATGACTCAAAATGAGAAGCAATAACTGCAAACATCCATTAGTAATTGGAACATGAAATGTACCGAAGTACATTTCTAGGAAAACGAAAGTAGTAAAAAATGAAATGATTGATATCCTATGTTAATGTTATAGACTGCTATTGGTCACTTTTAATCTGATATTCATATGTTCTACTATGCTGAGACCATCAATTACTCCTATGCAAATTCAAACTGAAGCTGAAGAAAATGAAAACAAGTCCACGAGAGCCAAAATAAGACCTTGAATAGATCCCACCTGAATTTAGAGATCACCTGAAGAACAGATTTGACACATTAAACACTAAAGACCGAAGGCCAAAAGAGTTGTCGGATGACATCAAGAACATCATACATGAAGATAGCAAAAAATCATTAAGAAGACAAGAAAGAAGGAAAAGGTCAAAATGGATGTCAGAAGAGACTCTGAAACTTGCTCTCCAGCGTAGAGA